GTGCCTCGTTCCCTCTCCTTCCCGAAGCTGCATCAGTTCAGGGTATTCCAGTCGGAGTGGTCCACGTCCTGTCTAATCTTGTGCAGTTCTGGGTCCTAGGGCTTGCCTGGTTCCTTGCACAGCTGGGCTCTTCTGGCTAAAGCCTCCAAGCTCTTGCAGGTAAATGTCCTGTAGTTTGCTGAGCTTCTTCTGTTCCCTCCAGTGCCTTCAGTGCGTGTCCATCAGGCACTGCCTTTGCACTGCAGTGGTGTTCCCTCAAGCACAAGCAAAGCATGGCTCGAGGTCAGTTAAATACAATACTTCTCCTTGTGCTGGAGGGTTTCTCCAGCTGCTGATCCAAGGGCCTCCTTGACCTTGTGTCCTTTAACAGAAGTTGTTGACATCCGTGTCATCAAAACTCTGCTCATAGAATATGATTGAGAAGTCCCAGGGGCAGAAGTGAGGAACTGCCCTTGTACAGGACCTTGGTGCAGGAGATGACTCAGTTAACTCGGGTGCTTCCCAAGAATCAATAAAACAAGCTGATGGATCACTTGGAAGTCTTCCCTCAACACCTCATTTCTACTCGAAGTGGCTCCTGTCACCTGGTTCGGGCAAGCAGCAGCTATGAAGGAAGCAAAGCTGTTCCTCTGCTACCTTTGTCTCTTGCAGTGCATGTGCAGAGGACAAAGCCAACAGCTCAGGAAGATGAATGCTGCGTAACTCAGGTTTTCTTAAGCTAAAAAGGGTGGGGGTATTTCATAGAATCCCAGCCTGGTTTGGGTTGAAGGCACCTTAAAGCTCCTCCAGCTCCAACCCCTGCCACGGGCAGGGACACCTTCCCCTAGAGCAGGTTGCTCAGTGTTTGGAACCAGACCTCCGAGCACACCAGAAGTGCTGGTGAGCTGCAGGTTTGGCCGGGCACCGATGTCCAACGACATCACCCGGACACACCACGTCCATTGCTTTGATGGGAGGCATGAGCTACACAAAAAGCGCTGCTGGAGCTCCTTACTTGTGGCCTGGTCTTGGCTTTGTTATCAGGAGAGGCACAGGTAAGTGTGCAGGTGTGATTATAAGGCCACATCTGAGGTATGTGAAATCCATTAAAGCATCACACATATCCCACAGGGATCCTGAAGCTGGGAAACTGCAGGTGTTAATGGCATTTATAACCCTCTGCTTCCCCAGCTGGAAAATGTGTCTGGATCTGGGTTACTGA